GAGGATTCGGAAAGGTTCGCCCCTCCTGCCCGTGACTGAGCGCAGTGAGGGCCAGCCAGCTCCGCAGGCCCCCCCTTCTGGAGCAGCCTCCAGCAGGGCAACAGCTGCGGCCCCGTGCGCGCCCTGGGGGTGCTCGGCTCCCCCCCCTCAACCCTCAGCAGCATCTTCAGCGCCCCGATCCTTTTCCAGCACCGCGGGGCTGCCTTTGGCGACTCTCCAAGCGGAGTCTAAGCCACACGCAGCACTGCTGCGCTGGTGTACCCCATTCCCCGCAGGCATTCCACTCCCCTTCCAAAACTCCCTTTTCCCTGGCTGTAACCAAGCAGACACCGCTGCCTCCTGTTGTCACCAACACCAGCTTAGGCTTTCCTTACCGTCCGCTCGTCCTTCACTCCCACGCAGCTCGCAAGCCATGCAGCGCAGAGCCTGCACGGCGGAGCGGCTCATTCAGTGAAGGCTGCCCCGTGACTCGGGCTCGCAGACGCGCCGTTATGGAACTAAGGAGCTGTTTATGTAGAAACACACCAGCCGCGTAAGCAGGCGCTTTGTACACAGGCTGGGTGGAAACAGCAGCTGATGGGAAATGCCCGGCGAATAGATGCCAGCAGCGATTTCCTACGCGATGGTGGCGCTCACCGGGCCGAGCCAGGCTCAGGGTCTGGCCTGCCAGCTATCGCAAAGGCAAACCTAAACCGAACCCAGCAGACAGGAACCCGGTGAAGAGTTCTTACTTACAAAAATAACATAAAAGGCAGGGGTGGGAGGGGAAGGAAAGAGCTGCTTTCATTATGCAGCTGAGGAATTGCAGCCTGGGAAAAATAAGAGGCTTATTTGAGGCTACACAACCAGGGACCAGGCAGGAATTCAGCGAATGCCTGGTTAACTCCGCTTAAGCTGCCTTGTCTCACCGGCAGGTCCTTATCAAAGTGCGGTTTAATCAGCTGGGCTAAGGACATCGTGTTGCTGCCTTCCTGGCAAACTCCCGCCGCGTTACAATGACACTTCGCAGGTTTTATCTTTTCATTCCTGCGGTGGCATTAGGACAACAGAGAAAAACCCAGGCGATTGCTCACAAGTTTTAAGAGCAGATGAACCAGGGAAACAGAGAACCATTTTCTAATCCCAGCCTGAGATCATCGTCTCCTGCAAGTCGCGTGCAGGAATCAACACGATGCCCCAGGAAAAGGCTTCGTGAAGGCCGTCTGTACAGCTAGGCGAGGTACAACCTACGTGGCCCCTTACTTTGGTATGATTGAGGCCCCTCCCCGAGTCACGGGACTGCAGGCCGCCGGCACGGTGTTTCGTCCCTCCACACTGGGAGCAAGGCTGAGGACAGCTGGGGTCTTGCCCTGTCTAAGGGGTTTCTGCTCCTTGGTTGTGAGGTCCGCCCAGGGCAAGGGGCCCATCAGCTGATCGTTCTTTCCGACCCAGCCATACAGAACTCATGAAGAGCGTGACTTTTTTTTTAAAAACTAAAGATCTTAACCCAAGATGACTGTCAGACCTTGCACCCCCTGCCCAAAGGCCAACCTGAGGGTTGGTGGTGATGTAGAAGCCAGACACCCCGGCCTTCTCCAGCGTGCTCTGCTGGTCTATCACTTTTTGGTCCAGTTCCAAGACAATCTTCTCATCCATCATTCGCTGCTCCTCACGAATCCGTTGCTCCACAGCCTGAAAAAGATAACAGTTGACAGGAGAAAAAAAAAAAAAGTAGACTATCTGCCTTCCTCCTATCTTTTTCTCATCTCCAAGTCTTTTACGGAAACCCAAGAGCGACTGGACCCCAAGGCACTCCTGCTCCCAATCTCAAGGGCAGCAGACGGCAGCAAGCACAGCCCCAGAGCTCGCCAGCTCTGCTTGCTGTCCCTTATCACAAAGCTGCCCCTCCAGAAAACACAGGGGGGTCACTGGGACCAGCCTGCTTTCCACGCCTTTGGAGGCCAGGAAAGACCACAAGCGGCAGGTATCTGAAGAACGTTTTCCGGATGCGGCAGTGTCGGAGCAGCAGGCTGCGGCTCCGCAC